CCAGCTGAGCAAGGGAAGGAAAGCTCTCTGGTTTTAAGGAAATCTAGCTACAGCATGCTGCAGCTGTAACTACATCATGTACAAAGTAATCTTTCCATACCCAGAAGGCTATGAAGCATATGAGAAATGAATCTTGAATGGAATGTGTGTTTATGTATTTATATGTAATTAGTGCTCTTTATTGCAAATCTAACGAATACTTTTCACTATCCAAATTTATTTTTCATTATCTAATGACAGCTGAGCACAAGTGGTGTTTTACCTCTGAAGCCATACCAGAGAAACACAAGACCATATGCTAAGTTCTGTCTTTACTTTGAAAAAAAAAAAACAAACCAAAAAGCAAAAAAAAACAAACCAAAAAGCAAAAAAACTGCAAACTTTTGGTTCTTATTTCATGCTGAGTGAGCCAGGGTTGGACACAAACGAGAGCCGAGGATCTCACCACGTGATTCAAGGCCAGAGTGGATCACTCTGAACCCCTGGCCATGCCGACAACCTCCCTCTCTCCATCCAAACAGCTCTGCAACAGCTGGGCAAACTACAGCATTGCATCCAGCAAAACAATCCGCTCCAGATTTAAACATCACAACTACCTGCTCTGCACGGGTGAACCTACGCTCCACATTAAAGGGAAAGCTCCTAATTACGAGAAGTCTGGTGAATTCTGACTTGTGCTCCCTTCAAATCAACCTGCTTCGCTGTTCTCACTGAGCACTGCCCTCATAATATTTACTCTGCTCATCATTTCAAAACAAAGCTCTAATCTTACTTGTTGAGACAAGACCCACTGGTGTGCTTGGCAGCTGGCAGGTTTTGTTTAACGTTCCAGTGTAAATCCGGGTTTCCTTTCCACTGACTTTTAAAAACAAGGCAGGAGGAGCAGGAGCAAACAGCACAATTGACTATTTCACCGGCACAAGCTCGTGTGAAAGAAGTTACACAGGTCAGACACATTTCACCCAGAAAACCAATGCTGGCTATGCTGTAGTTTTATCATGGGTCGCAAAGTAAGGAACAGGGAGTTGCTGTGGAGTTTTGAGAAGCAGGCTGCAATTGATAAAGCGACTGGAGGAAGACCAGTGGCCAGGTCTGAGGGCAGTTGCTTTGGTGGGACTTGGAGACGGACTCCATTCTCTGCTCTGCCACAGACACACTGCATTAGCCTGGGCTGGGTAAGACCTGGAAAGCATCCTCCACCTTTAGATGTCTGCTCCTTGGATCTGGGCAATGGAGATAAACGGCCACGTCCCACCTCGCCAGGAGAAATGACAGATAAACGTGCGAAAGGGCGAGGTGCTCCGGCCGGTGTGATGGGAACCCTGCCTCCAGCCGGCAGCTCTCTTGTGTCACCTCTGTGGGCTCTGGAAAAGCATCGGAGCAGGGAGCCTCACGGTCTAGACCTATTGCACTTACTTCATGATAACGATGTAGATGGCGTACATCAGCACTAAGACTAAGGATTCCCACCTGCAACCAAAAGCAACACAGAAGACAAGTCAGAGGGGGACTCAGAGATGCTGCTGCATGAATTCAGCCCTTCCCCGCTCCCACTGTGCCACAAACTCACAGGAGGGCTCGACCCTCTCTGCCTGTCTTAACACAGCTCTAGCAGAGGGCACAGGTAAAGAAATGGCCGGCACACCCAAATGACTGCTTTGTTTTTTGACTTCTGCTCTGGTTTTACTCGGCCACCTCAATCCATCAGCTAAAGCAAATGGCTAAAAAAAAAGGGGAAAGTTCAGTAAATAAATGTGCATCCAAGGAATTTGGACTTTTCTGGAAGGGCAACACACCTGGGGGCTGCAGCAGAGGGAGGGGAGCAGCTGTCCTGCTTTGCATGCCCGGCTTGGGGTGCAAAGCAGCTTGCTGGACTCGAGGAAAGGACCTTGAATGAAGGGGCAGCTGCTTTCCGGTCACAGTGAATGCAGCAGACAGTGCTTTAAGCCACTGCTTTGATACAGTCTATTTTTTCTCCGCAGTTTCCAGGTCAAACTAAAGAAATGTGCACAGAAATAAAACACAGCGTGGCTTTTGGAAGTTGTTCCTAGGCAGTTGTATTTTTCTCTTCTTTTTCATTGACCAAAATGCTGTACTCCGCCTGGTTTGCTATGGCAAGCCACGGGCCCTGTGAAAATCCCCCACGTGAAGTTTGCAGCATGCTAAGATGCATAGGTCGTTGTCTTTTTAAGAAGGATTTCCTTGGAGATGCTGCACGCACCATACCAATCCCTCATTCCCTGCTTCTGGCAGTTCAACACCCAGCTGCCTCATTGATGTGTTTTAGTAGAAGGACAGAGTCAAATTTAACTGGGCCTCGATGCAATTTTATTTAAAAACAAAACAAAAACAAAGAAAAACAAGCTATTGCAAAACTCGATGTTTCAGAAATCCTTGCGTGAAATTAAACAGAAATCCCCCAGTGAGAACAAGTTTAAGAAAACATGCAACACAAAAAGCCTCACTCCCCCTAGTGCTTGTAATCCAAATAATACTGGCTGTGAGTGAAATCAAAGCTACCACTGTCACTCTCCAAGCCCTGAGATGCGCTGAAAACAAAGGATGAAAGCAAAACAATTGAAAGCATGTTCATTTTTAAAAGTCTTTAAAGCCTTCCTAGCCTACCATAGACGTGCGGTACATGTAAGGACATTTGTCAGTGTATAAGACATTTATGCACATATATGTTTCTATAGCTACTGCTCATTTTCTCTTTCTCCTCCTCTTCCCGTTAACCCTGGGGTTTTTTTCAGCGCTTGTGTTATAATCAGAACAAAACGACAAGAAAAGGGATTCACCGCCGCACATACTCACCAAGAAACTTTTTCATCATAAATAAACTGTAGAGGAAAGATTTAAAAAGAGGCATGTTAGAAACAAACCACGAAAGCATGCATTAGGGCTGGGAGCAGTCCCTCACCTGAGCAAGGCACAGAGCAACGGGACGAAGTCCTGCTCACTGTTTTGCCCCTGCCTGCCTGCCCAGCCCTGGCAACTTTCCAACTCTCACTTTGTCCCACCTAGAAAACACAGGCTGGTTCCCCCTCCTAAAGGCCGTGAGGGCCTCGTATAACTGGTGCTACCTGCAACACGGGACCAGGTGGTTTTGCAGGTGGAAAGCAGGGAAAACAGAAGCAACCTGGAGAAGGACCTATATCCGCTTTGCTGAGCGGCATCGGTCAGTCTGGCCAGAGGTAGCACCTCTCCCTGGGAGCCGTGCAATCCGTACGCGCATTTAGGGCCGACTGCACAGCTAGTGTGAACGGCAGGAGCCCCACGAAAACTGATGGGGTAACCTATAAACCCTGCCAGCTCAGATCTGGCCCTGGGGGGTTTACTTCCTTCTCATCTAAGTGCTCACCACGCCAGCTGAACGTAACCACTGTGATAGCTATTTCAGCACACCTAGCGACCATTTAAGCTTTCATGATAACGCCGTGCGAGCCTCTTCAGGAAAGAAACGTGGCCTTCTCCAGCATGCGTGAGGGAGGTATTGTGTGCCACGGAAAAAAATAACGCCATGCAGCAGAGGCGAAGGACTCTGCCTGTTTGCACTTGGTTTTCAGGGTCTGAGAAGGCAGATTGCAGGTCAACTTTTCCTGTCACCGGTAGATGGCTGTCCTGTTTCATAGCTGGGTGCTTTTCTGCTTTTCAGCCCCCAGCAGCACCAGCAGATGTTGGGAGGAACGCGGAGTGCCACGCTGCTGGTAGCACCCCCGGCCTTGCCTCTGCTGCTCCCTTCCCTGTAAGCGTCCATCTGCGAGAGGGCTGCTGTCGCTGCTGCTCCCGGGCATCGCTCGCAGAGCGGGGGACTCATCCCAGCGTGGCGCTCAGCATGCACCACGTGATTTCATTGTGACAGGTTCCAGCGGCTGGAGAGCCAGCCCTGCTGCCCTTGGCCCTGCTGCCACTTCTCCCCAGCCCACGAGCAACACAGCCATGCCCCTTCCCCGAGCACTGAATCGCTGCATTTGGGCTATGGGACAGCTGCAAATGAGACTCCACTAGCACGCAGCAGGGAAACCCAGATGCAGAGCTGTGACCAGCGCGTCCTCAGGAAGAGAGCAGGGCCAACACTTCATAGCGCCTGAGCTGCAGATGGGGGCCAACACTTGATCATGGCCAAGCTGCGGATGTGGGCCAACGCTTCATCGTGGCCAAGCTGTAGATGTGGGCCAACACTTCACTGTGGCTGAGCTGTACACCTCTGAGGGATCTCCGCTAGTACTGCACACACAGCAACCCTACAGCTTCACAGCCCAGAAAGCCACTATGTGCAGCTTTCAACTTTCATGAGAAGGTTACTTTTCCTTCAGTCCTTCTAAAGCATCTGCATGTGGTTTGAGCTCAGTGCTGCATGAAGTGATCTAAATGCTGTATTTGCGGTAGGAAAGCACCTCCATGGAAGCAGCACCAGAGAAACCAAGAGAAAGGAAATGACCTTTTGAAGGCACAATGAAATACTTCCCTTAAGCTATACAGCTTGTAAATAGCAGCTCTTGTTTGGTAGCAAGCACCAAACAGTGGTTATATCTGTTATAGGAAGAAAACATGACTGCAGAACATTATGCATGTGATAAGTTATGGCTCCCAGTCACCATGATTTCATCTGACAGTGGCTATTTCGAGCTACAATGTGTTGGTGTGATAGGACACGAAAACATGTGCAGTGACCTTTGTGATTAGAAATAGCACCAATCTCACTTTCTTCACTAATGACTTTGACCATGTCCTTCCAAGTTAAGAAACACTAGGATTTTTTCCTTTCAAGGAAATAATAAGAACTAACAGCTTTGACAAGCTTTAACAGATGACAAGGCAGCTCTTTAATATTATTTTAAGGGGAAAAAAATTATAAGGCCAAATCAAGGTGAGGCAAATGTGATAAGCGGAGTTTATCTGCTTATAATCTGTGTGATTTAGAGTTCACTCAGTCTTATCACCTGGCCTGGAGCACTGAACAGGTGAGTTTACTGCTTTGCTATTTATTGCGGCAGCACTGCAATTCCTCTGCTGGTGCAAATGGAAGGAGACAAAGCCATACTGATTTACACAGCAGAATATTAAGGTTTTTTTTAAGTTGTTGAATCCATAACCTTAAAATACTCTACATTGGCAAGAAAGTGTTTATTTCCCCACATGCATATTTATGACGATGCAAGACACCAATGGTGTGCAACTCATACCGAAGCACTACGATCTGCTGTTTAAAATAATACGTGAGGAACCTTCTGCAAGTAATACCACCCTTCAAGGCAGATGATCACATTCTGAGGCTGCGGGCAAGTCTCAATGCTCTGACATTGAAAATTATTCCTATATAGTAAAGCGTTCAAGCTCCTAAAATTGAAGACTTGTAGAAGTCTGACAAACTTGATGCGAAGAATGTATTTATGTATTTATGGATTTTGCTGAGCAAGAACAGGCTCCACCTTGTTTTCAGCTGTCCTGTTCAACTGGGTCCTGTGTGTGGCTGGATATTGCTTAATACACCATACATGGCAGTGTAACCATTGCGACGTGGGGCTTTTTAAGTCTCACACAGGACAATCTGTGGTTTTTTTTTTTTTTTCATGTAATGATCAAGAAGCACTTTATATCTCACAGGAAAATGTCTAAAGGATGACTGACAGGATGAGAATAAATAAGTTTATATGGCTGATGAGCCTACACCCATAATTCGTCCAGCTCACTCTTATCTTTCATTAAACAAGCTATCTTTGGTGGTAACGTGAAATAACCAGCCATTTCAATATCACTGTACACCTTCTGAAAGCAATAGAGCAAGCGCTTCACTTTAGATTACAGAGCAACCACAGAAATCGACAGTGTCTCTACAGGTGTTTGTCAGGGATGTCCAGCTGATATCGAGGAAGTGCATGGTCTCGGTCCCCATCTCTAAAGTATCATCTCCTTCATGTGTGGAGAGTACTCTGGACCCCTCACAGAGAAATCCTGGCTGACATATATTGTATCAGCAACAGGGAGACCGCTCTGGAACGGAGCTGCGCCCTGGGAGAAAGGATGTGGGACAGGGAAATCCTGGCCTTTCTGCAGCCACCTGGCTTCTGGCACTTGCTTTTTATTCCCAAGAGGACGTTACATATTCTGTAGTTTTATATCTTCAGATTTTCACTGAAAGAATCAATAGCATGGGACATAAAGGTTTCTGCACATTTCAAAAATCTGACACCAAAGCAACAAAATAGAAAGCCAAGTCCTACTACAGCTCATGCCAACTCTTAACAATACAGCTTATTTCTGTCCCAGTTGAAGGGCCACTTTCCTCTCATTCATTTCCACAGAGTGGACAAACCAGGCCATTTCCCTCTCTGTCCCCTGGGTACTATTTTGGAGGGTTGGCAGCCCTGGGGACACCACGTGCAAAGCGTTCTGCCCTCTGCATGGACCATGGGGGTTGTCCAAATGGTGACACTGGGCACTGAAGAGCCAGTATTTGAACGATAACGTGCTGCTACCTTAACTTGATTCTGCCTTAAGAGGACATGAAAATCTGAGTCACTGGGAAGCCACAGGTCCCTTGATGCCTGGAAGAGAGGGGGAGAAATTTCTTAAGCTGAAGCAGTGTTTAGATTCTGAAAGACGAAATCCTCATTTGCGTTTAACAGAGGATCTCTGCTGCATTCAGAAGGGTTGGTACACCACCTTGGAGCTAAATCAGGAGCCATTTCACCCGTTTGCCTTTCCTCCTGTCTGGCTGTTTCTCTTAAGGGACACTTAAAAGACCTTTGCCATGATTTCTGAACAGCAGTAAGGCTCAATCCACATCTCCCACACTACAATTAGCCATTTAACGCCGTAACTTCAGAACAAGAGTTCTGGTGACGCCTCCAAGCCTTGGCTAACGCTTGCAGTACTTCCACGGCTGCATTTCGGACCCTGAACCTCACTGGTGGTAAGATCAGCAGAAGAGTGGGAGCAGATCTGGAGTGAAGCTAAGCCAAGGCTTAGGAAAAAATAACAGCATCCTGGTATTATGGGCTACAGTCCCAAAGGAAAAGGACTTCTGCAGTTCTGTAACCATGAAGAATAGCTTATACAGAAATAAAGTACAGGAGACCAGAGCTTTCCTTAGGATAACAGAGATGTCTAGTCAATGAGCGCTATGAATTTTAGTTACATATGACATGTAACTAGAAATTTCAGGGATGCACTGGACACAATAAGATGAGAATGACTCTCAGCATAGCAAAGCAGCTGATGACACAAGGATGAACCAGCCATGAAAAATGCTGCCTTGCTTGAACAAATGAAAAACCAATGACAAGTTCAACAAGAGATCTTTAATTTGTCTGCCCCCAGGCAATAAATGAAACATCCAATTCGGACAACAAGAGGTTAAATGCCAGGAAGCTGCCCAGCTCTGTGCTTCCCTTGGAGTAAACTAAGAGAATGACTGCTAGTTTGAATACGTGTCTTTATGCTCACACAGTGCAATTTATTACAATTAGTAGGAGTGGCTGAGTTTATTGTTTAGGAACATACTTTTTAGTATGATGTTACTGTCGAGCTGTTAAAGCAAGAAAAGAGTTTTTTGTTTCGCAGCTCATTGCTAATAATTATGTAGCTTTTATTCTAGCAGCAGCTCTGATGCATGAATTAGACTTAGACTGAAGATAAGTTATTTTTCGTAAGGTGCTAAAATGCTGACCTTGCAGCGTGGGAAACAAAAGTACAAACAAGTTGAGGCAAACCCTCTGAGATTTCAGAGATAGGCATCTGTACCTACAGTATATGTAGGTGGTATACAGGCACTTGCAGAGTGAAGGCAAAACAAAACACAGTGTTGAAATTGAGAGTAATAAAAATAGCACAAAGGTTAGAAGCGCAAGTGTTCATCTTTCTGATTATAAAGTTCCCTTCTTCTTGCTTACAAATGAAAGTTAACCCCACAAAAACACTCTTCTTTTTCTGGGGAATCTAGAGTCTTCATGTCCAAAAATCATGCAAAGAAGTACCTGTTGCCAGAAAACTCAGTTTTTGCATTTCCTGACTTTGTTTTGTAGTGGTTGCAAAGATAACGCTAAGCTGATGGCAGGGTCGTAAGCACTTGTACTAAACATTTCTTCACTGTATGGCCTGAGTTTGAGAGAGTCAGAGTACTTATGGAGCTTGTTGAAAGCAGGAACAAGAGCAGCACTGAGAATTACTGTAACCCTCATTAGAGGATTTGCTGATAGTGTGTATTAAATAAGACCTGTGCACACAAATATGTGTGGACATATCTAACACACTGTAATGTTTTGTAATTGTTGAGGATCTCTTTCCTCTGGGCACAAATGATGCCTCCTTATTGGTAGGTAGGATTTTTGGGGGAAGCAGAGCCAGTAGAAACAGGAAGGGTTGCTGCGTGGAGAAGACAGAACCACACGTCCACGTCAGAGCTGGAAGAGGGGCCGTCGCACAGCGTTTCAGCTCTGTGCTCTGTCCCTGCCCAGAGACTGTGGCACCTCACTTTCCCCTAGCTCTTGCTTCAGGCTTCCTCGATCACTTACCCTTGGGTCAAGCTTTTTGACAGAACCACGGACATCGCAAATACATTTGTCCCTAAGCAGAAAAGCCGCATGACTCCTGGAGCTAGGGTCTTAGACACCAGATTACGATTTCTTAACAGCCCCCCTTCAGAGGCTGCAGCCGACACATGGGCTCCCATGGAGGATTAACATGTATAGTAACCGTCAAAAACTTACCACAATGAGTGCAACAACGGATAGCGTGTAGTAGATTGAATCTCTCAAGAGACTCCATGACGACAGCGCAACGACCTGGGAAAACATGCCAAGAAAGGAAGTCGGGATGAGTGCGACTGGCACATTAACAGTGTGTGTCAGAGTAAAGCCTGTCGTTCTGAGTGCAAGCTGGCCCCATGCATGCTAGGACACAATGAGGAGATGAAAACAGGGGAGCGCACCGGCTTTCTGAGGCTGCTTGAAGGAAAGGCACTAGAGAGATGGAGGGTTATGGCCAAACCTGAAAAGCAAAAGTCGTAAGGTCACAGGCAGCACTTTCCATGCTAAGTCACAGCATACCTACAGAGTCCAACAGGTCTGGGGGTATCAAAAAAATTTGTTCACAGCTAATTGCAGGTGGAAATGGGCTCAATGTTTTGAGTAGGGGAAGTCACGAGGCAGCAGCAGAGGGAAGATCAGCAAAAACGAAGGCTGGCTCTTCTCGAGCACGTGCTTCTTTTATACACTTTGGGACACGTTGTGTGATCAGCTCAGCATTGCACAGGCTCCTGTCTGAAAGCAAGAAGCCGATAACTCATGTACTTAACTGAAAAGCAGTGTATTAGGCATATGAGAAGGGCGAGAGTCCTGCTTTATTCCCTTCTGCTTTACAGAAAGTACCTTCCACTCTGTGACTGTGCAAGGAACCCAGACTTGAGCTTTCCAAGAGTTCTGGGAGGAGGACAGACCTCAGCACAGTCATTGGGTGAACAGAGAAGCTCATATAATGGGACACTTTGGAAAACTCCACCCTTCTCGCCAGCTCTTTGCAGACTGCCAGAGTATTTTTAATCCTGCAAAGCAAAGCTTGACACTTTGTTCTCTCTCTGTTTCTCTCTCTGTTCAGGACCATTGTTTTTGTTCCAGCAAGGTAAAGATATTTCCTGTGGCTATAACATCAGAGTAAGGTTGCACGTTTCAGCACTGAAAACCATCGGGAGGTGCTAAAAAGGTATAACCAGGCCGATCTGTAAGAGAGGATTGTGCCCATTTGTCCTATGTTCAACAGACTCTCAAAGGGCTCTGTATATGCCAAAAAAACTGGATGCCTAAGAGTAGAACCTTCAATATGCCATATTTATGTAACATCTCTATATTAACAAACCATATAGACTCACTGATTTAAGTGGAGCCCTACATGGGCAGAAGGATTTGCTGATGAAGAGCAGTTTGCAGAGTAGCTAATGATACATTAAGAGGGCCAATTTACTTGGGAAGTCCACAATGAAGTTGAAGGTAGAAACTTCCTCTTTGTATGAGAAATGAGGCACACATTTCTAATAGTGATCAAACATGTGGGACCAAGAGAACAGAGGGGATACTCCGTCTCTGGATGTCTTCAAATAATGACTTGGCATACTCCAAGGGAAATAAAGCTACCGGGCTACCTACGGTAACAGGTAGCTGCATCGACTGCTTTTCAGACAAGTTGAGACTAGATGTTTAATGATTTCCTCTGACTTTAAATCTATTAAGGGAACTGACATTTCTCTGTACAGCCCACAGGGGCCTCAAATGGATGGAAATCCATATGAGAAAGGGATTCACATGAAATGTGCTGAAACACTAAGTCACTCCTTGACTTCCTTAATTAGTAAGGCTGGAGGAGATGCAGACTGTCATGTGGCAGTAACATCTTCCATCACCTAAATCATGATCCATTTTATCAGCAGTTCCCCAAAGCTGATCTGTCTCCTTAAATTTGATTCTCCCTTTCTAGAATGCATTTTATGCATTGCCTTTGTAAATACACTTCTCTGCTACATCCGCAAGTCATGTTTCTTCATGAATCCAAACAACCAGAAACTTTACTTTTATTTTCTGCCATCTGTAAAATTCCCTTCTTATGCAGGAAAATTGAGATACAATATTCAACCCCCATTTACCAAGATTAACCCTTAGAGCACTAGCACCTGTGAAGAATACCGGTCAAAGAAAAGCTTTTATGACAATAAACGTTATTATCATTGATACTGGGGCTGCTTTGCAATGCTAAGAAAGCAAGATGTGATCTTAAGGCATAGCTATTGCTATCCAAAAATAAGGCTGCTCTACTACAGCTTTTCTTACTTTTTCTAATCAAAGAACTCCCTAGAGTTTTAAGGGGAAAAAAATCCCATCAGCATCTTGAGCAGTGTTTGCACAACAGTTCTCATTTCCTACTCAAAATTCAGGCAAAACTTGGAACATTCCCTTGGTTTACGTTTTCCTGCATGCATGAGATGGTAGATCAGTTTGATGCATTACAGCTCATCTGTAGTCCAAGAGACCTTGGGTTGAGAAGAAGTGATGTCAAAGTAATGGAAAGAGGAATCAAGTCCCAATTATTTATGAATGACAGAAAAGTTCTCAAGGGCCCTGAGGGCTCTTTGATATCCTTTTCCCCCTGAACTCCCTCCCATACGCACACCAGAGCATCCCCCACTAGAGTCTGCAGCAATAAAATATGTTTTGTATGCTAGAGCTCTGTCATCACACTTATTCCCACCACTTTCTCTTTCTTCCTTCCTTTTGCATTATGTGTTACTCATTTTCCCAGGCCTGTGACTCTTGCATTGCTCAAGAGAGGAAACCAGCCTGATACACTGAGCAAGAGCATCAGGGACACAACAGACCATTGCGCAGGGGGGCACCATTGGGCACCGAAGCCCCCAGCTGCTGCCCAGCATTGTGGGTACTCCCCATCATTTGACTGACTGGTCATGAAAGTGTCTGCCGTATGACTACATGCCTGTGCCCACTGAGAGACCAGCTGCTGGCATCTCATACAGGGGGTTTCCAGGAATTTTAGACAGCTAAATGAGGGGGCTTGTCCTTGCTGAAATGTTAACTTGGCCCAGGCTGACTTGTTCAGGGAACGATAACTTGAGCGGAGGGCGTCACTCATCAAAATGCTACTCCAACAGTACAGAGCAGCCAGATCACTGCTAGCTTGACCATCAGCAGAACCACAGCTTCACCCACCACACCGGTGGCCCGCTACCACGGGTTCCCAGCACACTAAAGCTCTGCATGCATTCAGGATGGGGGTGAATACGCAAGTTAATGCTCCAGCAGAGAAATACTATAAGAATAAGAAAGCAGGCAATTTATATGCAATAGAGGATAAAATAGGACTTCTGTGCAGTTCATTTCACTTGACACCTTTCACAGCCACAGAAATCAGGAGGAACTGTGGTCATTGTGGGCTGAATGAGACAAGAATCCAGATCTTAGATGAAAAAACGCCAGTGAATAATTTAGCCTTTAACTTCATTAATAGCATTTCAAAGGGCAGACTAAAAACAGTCACATGGTGGTAACAACCTCCATATGCTAAAACTCTAATTATTTTTTTTCACAGTCCTAGGAAGTCTCAGTAGAACCGTCTCCTCAAATCTGTGTTTTCCATTTCTGGAGTGCATTTCAAACACTGTGGGTCACATCCTTCACAGGTGTAAACCACAAGGAGGCAGCTGAGGGATGGCTAATTCACACTGCTCTGTATCTGGCCCTGCATTTACAAATGTGTTTTCTGACCACATCCTTCAGTCATGCTTGTGCATGAATTCAGTGAAACAAACAGTAACTTCATTTTCATTTCTACAGTATCTATAAAAAGGTCCTATTTCAGAGTGCTGGCAAAAACAGTTTCCCTTATTTCTCTACTGTTAACTCTTGCAATTCTGGAATTTTCCTAACTGCTAGGAAAATTAATGCTGTGAAAAATGCTGAAAATTACACTTATATTCTCTAAGGCCTCTTAACGCTGTAGCTTTTTTAAGCGGATGTAATTTATGCTCAGTGTAAAGTCTCTCTATTTAACTAGTGCCATGTACAAAACTTATCTAAAATGAGAAACAGACCTTTAAAGTCCTCGAGTCAGATTAGATTTATGCCATCTGACAATATGTTTCAACGCATGTAAAGACAAATGAATGGAGGTGCTTTATGATGGCAATTTCCAAATGCAGAAACCTTGAGTTAGATTCATAATTCTGTTTGGAGATCCTTAATTAAATCTTCCATCTTATATTTAGCAGACTCCTTCATTTTGATTGAGCAATTTTTATAAGAAAGTTTATAATATTATAGTGGTCTATTCCAGTCTGCTTTTATGATGCTGAGCAAAGTCCTATATGCTCTTCTGAGCATGGACGTTGATGGAGATTTTATAGCTGCAAACTTAAGCTCTGCATAAGAAAAGTCATGAAATTTCAAAACGAGTATTAAATAAATGGTAACTCTAGCCATTCTAGCTAATGAACGCTCTCCTGGGTATAAGAGGGGTCACCATGCAACACATCATACCAGTAAAAACAAGATGTCCTGGTCACTACGAGTCAAGCTAGCATCTTTCTTATTCTTTGATATTCTGCAATGATCTTGGAGGTGGGCTTCCTTTATTTCCAGGGAATTTTCCTTGGACACCTGAATGACCACATTAAGATCCAGAGGGTTAAATGCAGCTCTTTAGCAGGGATGTAGTCCACAAAATTCATAGACCAAGATACTGCGGGAATCACAGAGACTGTTGCTTTGATTTCAAATTGGATTGAGGGGAACATGCTCATGCCTGCATCTGCTACAAGCCATTCACATGTCACAGAGATCCTAACAGGTCTCCCTGATGCAGTAAACAGGGGGCAAATCAATCTCAGTTCTCCCTTCTGTAGGAGTAAATCTCTGAAGAGTTCCTCTGGATAATGCAAACAGATGCTAATTCTTAAAGAGGTGGGACAGGCTGCCTGACAAACAGATCTTCCTGCCCCTCTAAGATAGGAAAGCTTCATTTTTGGTTCTTCGTTTGGGATATGCAGTGCAACCGTAGTGTCTGTCAGCATTCACTGCCAGGCGAGCCCTCACTGCGGACACCCTCCATGAACTGCCTGCAAGGAAACCTGCAACTCTACCCTGGCAGAACAAGACTGAATGGCCCAGGGTGAAGAGAGTGACAGTAGCAATATATATGACATAGATGGAGAATACAAGAAAAATCCCAAATAAACCACATACATACTGACAAACTGGTTTTTTTTTTTTCCTTTTGCCTTCAA